TAATCGATTATATAATAAAAATCGATTTATTTTAATAAAATAATCGATTATGTTTTTCTGACTTCCAGCATCTCATCTGAACAAAGTTCTAATCGATTCTTAGGAGTAAATAATCGATTTTCGGCTACTGTTCATCATCTTCTTCCTCTGGTCAGTTTCGAGTATTACCATTTTTAATCACCAAACTTCAATTAAATTATATAGAAATGTTCTCCAAGGTTCATAGATCATTTTGGAATCATTAAAACATATTTTTAACATCAAATTCAAGGTTTATGATTCTTGGTTCTTAAACATGTTCAAACACAAAACTCAACCAAACGACCGTTTATGAACGTAGAAACAATCTATATGAACATTCTAGTCACTAGATATATCTACGGGCTTACCTCGAAGGTAAATGAAGGTTTTGAATATTTTCCGGCGAAACTTCCGGCAAAGATTGTGGCTTGCTCCGGCGACTTCACACCAAATTGACAGCACAACTTCGTTCTCCACACTCACAGCTTTCTCTTCGAGTTTATTTGAAGGAGAATGGTGAAGGAATGAGGGAGTTAGCTTCTCCTTTTATAGGGAAGATGAAGAAGAAGGAAACAAAGTCTGAGTAGATGCTGCGTAGGAACTTCACGTTCTTCTTTCGGCGATAGTGCGACTTAAGGAGACTCAGCACGTTACTCTCTGATTGGGGCTAATTTTTGGTCCAGTCGGGGTACACTTTTCGGTTCAACTTTCTCCGAATTGAAATTCGTTTGCACCGTTGTGATCAGACAGTCGAACTCTATCCAACGATATAATTTTTATATTCATTTGTTATACTTTTCCCGAAACCACATTTTTGGGGGTTTGACCTTAACAGAGTCAAAATTGGTTTAATTGACCTTTCTCATAAAATGTTTTCTCATTTAATTCATATCAATTATTCTCATGATTTATTTCAACAAATCATTTCAATATTTACATTCTAAACAAATTCTTTATTTACTCTTGATTTGGGTCTTTACTCAGGTTCCCAATCAAGATTACACAATAAATCAACATGTTGGATTTATCTCTATAAGATTTATCCCAATTATGTTTTTTTTGGATATCAATATATATTTTATTCAAGCCCAAATCCCAACAACAATTTATTTTAATCAAAACAAATTTTGTTTAATTGAATATTTAATTCAATAAATTTTAGGGTATATTTTGGGGCGTTATATGTAATCTTTTAAAAAATTCATCATTTAATTATATCTGCTGGTTTATCTAATCATACAAGGTGTAACTTACAAGTGAGTTTTTTTTGACCAATTACCTGAAGAAGTGATTGAAGACCTTTTATATGACGGAGGTAGTAGTATTTTTGGTACTCCTGCCATCCCAAAATATACTTCCTTCATCCCTAAAAAAATGACACTGCAAAGTTTAAAAGTTTAAAAAAGTGTTAAAATTTGAAAAGGTGTTTCCTGAAAAGGAATAAAGTTCGATGGAGGGAGTGAATGGTTTAAGCCATTTGTCAAAATAATTGTGTTTATAGATTTAATTCATGTTTTTCAGTATTAATCTTCAAAAATTTTCCACGTGAAGTCTTCCTATTTTAATTGATTATGTACCTTGAAAAAAATAAACCCCATGCAGTGTTAAACTTATATAAGGGAATATGTTTATTTTTCAAGGATCCGTAACATGTCTGCACTTTTCTAAATATTTGATATTCTTGGGACAATGAAGTATTTAATTGCATTTATTGTTGAATTAATGTGTCTTCAAACTCCGTACCAGGCAATGTTGAAGGAAGGCTCTAATGGTAGTAAGCACTGGGCATATGGAAGGGATTTTGGGGACATACATAATGATTTGAACTTTTGCTTAAATGGTGTTGTATTTCCAGACCCAAGTCCTCACCTTGCGCTCCAAGGTGATATTTTTTCCTATTTTTTTCCCATTTTCTTGTTATCATTTGAGCTTCATATTATTTGAATCTTGCTATGTGCACTCTCTTACCTTGAAAGTGCAATTTGAACCCCAATATATACAGTCATGAAACGTTTTAAACTGAAGATTGTTGCAATTGATGTTTTTTTAGAGGTTAAGTTTGTCTATCAGCAAATGAAGGTTGTATCTGATAACAATGGAAATTTTGAGGTAAAAATGTTTACTTTTGCATCACTTGAATTTTTTTTACCGGATTTGAATGTGGTTTTGATTTCTACTCGAGTGCTTTCCAGATTCAAAATGGTAATTTTTTTATTACCACAAAAGACTTGGAGTTTGAATGGTTACTTCACGGTGACGGGTGTGAGCTAGGTTTAGGTACACTTGATGTTCTTCCCATTGTGCCCCAGGGTACCCATAGAATCCAATGGGAGAACGGACCGTGGCATTCACTTTAGTCTTCATCCACAGCTTCAGAGGTTTTCTTGACAATTACTGCAAAGATGCTGCACTTTACTCGGTGGGCTGATTCCGGTCACCTCATTTCTTCTACACAAATCCTCTTACCTGCCAAACTTGAACCCCTTTCTCATGTGACTGTGTCCCTTTCAAGTTAAATAACTTCCCTTGTTACATTTTAAAAAATAGAATTTACCGGGATTATTATTACAGGTAATTAGAAGCATGGAGTTTAGTATATCTGTTCACAACCTTGACGAAACGATAAAGCTTGGCCATGATGGCTCGTGGGAGATTACCTTTAACAAAAAATCGGGTGCAATTGAGTGCTGGAAGGTAACTTTCTTTTGTAGAGGGTCCTACACTCCCTACTGAACTTTTTTGGACCATTTTTTTAAAGAAAAATGCATTATAGGCTTTCAAATCGGAATTATTTTAATGCCGGTGGAAGTTATTTATTTTGACATGTGTTTACGTTGGCAGGTTGAGGGCATTTCGGTTATGCATAGTGGAATGATTCCATGCTTTTGGAGAGCGCCTACCGATAATGACAAAGGAGGAGAGCAAAACAATTATTTAGCGAGGTGGAAGGCAAAAATTTGAAAGTGAAACTAGGAGTGTGGCAAAAATTTGAATTACATACATTGGGATTCCATCCAGTGGTGATCTAAATGCTATTATATCTGCATCGGCATGTTATTTGTTCAGGGTTCACATGATTTACTCAATATATGGTTATGGAGATGTTTTCCCGAGAATGCCATGTAGAGCCAAAGAGTGATCTTCCCCCTCTCCCGCGTGTTGGGGTTGAGTTCCAATTAGAGAAGTCCTTGGACCAGATTACCTGGTTTGGTAGAGGGCCATTCGAATGCTACCCGGATCGTAAATTTGCTGCCCGGATGGGGATTTACGAACAAAATGGTTGGGATATGCATGTGCCTTATATTATTCCCAGGGTATACTCGGGCAGAGCATATATGAGATGGGTAACCTTTAAAAGAAAGGACGGCGTTGGGATCTATGCTTCTGTTTATGGAGGCTCTCCTCCAATGTAGATGAATGCTAGTTATTATACCACTGTAGAACTTCACCGTGCCACTCGTCACGAGGATCTTGTTAAAAGTGGCTTCATCGAGGTACACCGTAGTTTTCTAAAAACTCTCCACATTCCATATTAACCGTCGACTATGACCTTCCTGATACACTAAAAAACGAATGAATGTAGACATTCCACATTCATTCATTTATCGATGTATCAAGAAAGTCATATTAACAGTTAGTGGGCTTTTGAGTAGATGTTTAATGGGTAAAATAAATGATGTTGCAGGTGCACCTGGACCATAAGCACATGGGATTAGGAGGGGATGATAGCTGGTCACCTTGTGTTCATGATCAGTATCTTCTTCCTCCTGTTCCATACTCTTTCTGCCTCAGGTTTCACCCAATCACTGCTACAATTTCTGGCACTGATGTCTACAGAGATCATAGCTCTAAAGCCATTTTGTTCCAATAGATTCCATGGATGAACTTGTTTTCAAGACTAGAACATGGAATGTAATGAATAATGAATAATGATAATAATTTGTTTTATGCATGTTCTAATAATAAAGTATTGCTGATATGAACTCGAGGTCTATATAAGAATGCACATCAATGTTCATGTACTTGTAAAGTCTTGTTCTAGTATATGCATTCTCTCTATCATGATGAGCGAGAAGATAAATTGATACTCCCTTTGTCACAAAAAAAGGTTCTGGTTGTGGAATGGTTGACTGAATTTATTTTTAATTCAATTTATATAAAATGTGAGGTAATATTTTAAATAAATATTATATATTTAAAAACAAAATCAAAAGTGATTAAAAATTTTCCTTGGAGTAGTAAACATGAGAACTTTCCTAGGCCGGAAGGAGTATTCAAGAAAAATATGTATCTGTTCCGTACTTGGTTGCCTTTTTACTATTTACATGATCAAATTTTGTTTACAGTTTTTCTTTATAATATTAATCATGTCATTACTAGTTTTTCTAGATCTTTAATGTAATTTTTAAATATGTAATTTTTATATTTTAATTCTACACTATTTTCCATATAAAAGGATTTAAAAATAACTTTAGTCAAACATCGTAAATCGAAAGATGTTATTTAAATTGGAACGAAGGGAGTAGTATCCACATATAGCCTCTCATCTACTTCATTACCATTGCTGGGATAGTAAAATTCATGACCAAAAAATAATGGTTCCCATTAATACTGAAATAATTAACCTAACCCTTCGTGCATAAGATAGATGTTTAGTGCTCCAGGAGGCAATCTCAGATATTGTTTTAATTATACACCAATTTTCATATAAAATGATTTGAAAATAATTTCAATCAATATTGTTGGCCATGTGTGCAGCAATTGTCCCGTGGCGGAGGCTATGTGGGCCAAGTCACAATCGAATATCGTGGGCGCTTGTGTGTTGAAGAATGCACTATAAGGCTAGGGTATGCGCCTCTTCTAACACCAATTGGTTTTAGAAGAGTTGGTAGCGCCTGAGGTCCTACAAGTGGTATCAGAGCCAAGGTCACGAGTTCGATTCCCAGCGGGAGCAATTGCTGAGGGGGAGATTGTTGGCCATGTGTGCAGCAATTGTCCCGTGGCGGAGGCTGTGTGGGCCAAGTCACAATCGAATATCGTGGGCGCTTGTGTGTTGAATGCACTATAAGGCTAGGGTATGCGCCTCTTCTAACACCAATTGGTTTTAGAAGAGTTGGTAGCGCCTGAGGTCCTACAAATATCATAAACCGAAAGAGTCAATATAAATTAGAACGGAGGGAATAATATAATCGTTTGAGATAAATTTAATTTTTTTCTTTAATGAACTTGTCAATTTCTTTTAAAGAAAACCCCCTAAATAGGAGTAAAACATTAAGCTTAACCCTAATGTAAGAGTCCATTGATTATATACCCAAAATAGGAGTAATTACCGTCCTCTTAAACGGTAGTTTGAAATCCTCCATTTCTTCTTTTCTTCGGTTCATCAATCCTTCCTCTCTGCCTTTTTCCTTCGTCTCTTTCGTACCAACTGCCCAGCGGCAACTCTTCTTCGCTGCTTCGTTGCTTGCGACACACTCTTGATTCTTCTATTTCGCTTTACAATTCCCCATCATCTACGACTTTATTGTGTCAATTTCAATTCGCTTTTCAATCTCCCATCATCTTCGATTTTACTATTCATAATTTGGAGTTCTCATTCGCCAAAGCCATTGCAGTAAGTCAGTTTCTTCTCATAATCTTCGATTTTATGAATTCTCATAACTCTCTACGATTTATGATTCTAGTTTCTGCATTACATTTTATATTTTACAATCATAATTCTCATACATCTTTGAATATGTTCTGCTATTTTCTTAATTGAGTGTATTTGGAGTCTTTACTGCCAAACATATACTGAGATTTTCTTATGTTTTTTATTCATCTGCAGCTGTATCCTTTACTTTGATGGCAGACCAGATGTGGATAATGGTTCATGTTGATGGAAACTGGTCTCCTAATAATATTTTTATTTCTAAGTACACAATTGGAGTCCCAATTCCAAATAACAGCTTATTCCAAGATTTAATGTTGCATCTGAAACGTGTAATTTGCAAGGAACGTTTTCGTGTTTCATACGCTGTTGGGTCCATTCTTCCTCCTGTGAATATAGATGATAAGAGTAGCTTCCAATTTTATATGCAATTGAAGTGTATTGAATGTGATTTTACGAAGCTTTCATTGTGCATCGAATTTGACACAAACAATACAAGTTCACAGGGTGTCATAATGTCACAGTTTAATGAGTTTGACACTATTATTGATGCATCTTCTTCCACTTTTCCTGTTCCTTCTGTTGGTACTTCCCAGAGTCTTCTTCTTACCCAATTCACACAGCCTCTGTCCTTATCAAGTGAAGATGTCTGTATTGCTGAAAGCATAGATTCTGTGTCAGTGGAATGCACACCTAATGTTGTTATTTCTCATTACCATCCAACAACTATTCGCATGGATTGCATATACAAGTCAAAGATGGACCTTCAACATCATTTGCAAATGTTTTCCATTGTTAATAACTTCCAGTTCAGAACTGTAACTTCAACAAAGACATCCTATCATGTCGTGTGTGTTGATTCTAATTGTAAATGGGCCCTTCGTGCTGTACGTGTATGTGGTGCAAGTTTATTCCAAATTAGAAGGTATATTTGCATTTTGAAGTCTTATTTGACCCTCTCACTTGAATAGGTATACACACACACACACACACATATATCTGACATTTGGGCTCTTTTGTGTCTTAGGTTTGACTCAGAACATTCCTGTCCTGTTGACTTTCGTGAAGGCAATCATAGACAGGCAACATCTACCCTTTTAGCAGGCTTGGTTTCACATCGTTATGCAGATGCTTCGAAAAAGCCATACCAACCTATTGACCTTATGGATGACATGAGGAGGGAATATGGGATTACTATGTCTTATAAGAAGGCTTTGGTAGTTAAAAGAAAAGCGATGAGCAAACTCTATGGTTCAGATGATCAACTGTACCGCTTGTTGCCTGCGATGTGCTATATGCTCGAGAAAAATAACCCCGGGTTTGTTATATCTCTCACAACATGCGAAGATGGCAAATTTAAGAATATGTTCTTCTCGCTTTGTGCGTGAAGGCAAGCATGGATTCATTGCTTTCCAATCCTTATTATAGATGGGACTTTCATGAAGGCTTACTTTCGTGGAACACTGCTGACTGCATGCACACAAGATGCTAATCGACAGATTGTCCCTTTAGCATTTGGCATATGTGACGCTGAGAACAATGAGTCTTGGTTGTGGTTCTTAAGCAATGTGAAACATTCACTTATTGAACGCAGTGACATGTGCATCATCTCAGACCGTCATGATGGTATCTTGTTTGCAGTAGATAAGCTGTTTCCTTCTATTCCTCATTGCTATTGTACTGAACATATATTGCGCAATCTCAAAGGGAAATTTAAGGGCAAATCAGAATCAATTGAGTGGAAGTTCAGAGCTGCTTCTCGGGCTGCTACTGTTGAAGAGTGTGAGGAGTATCTTTCAATGTTGGATGATCCGCGTATACGGGTATACCTTGATAAGATTGGAGTTGCAAAGTGGTCTAGATATAAGAGTCCAACATCACGTTACTCCTCCATGACTTCAAATTTGGCTGAGTTAATGAACAATGTCAATAAAAATGCATGGGATTATTCTGTAGCAAAATTGGTTGAATTCCTTCGTGGTAAGATGCAACGATGGTTCCATGAAAGAGCTGAGATTGCTAGTTCCACACGCACTCCTCTTCCAAAGAAGCACGAGAATGAACTTATTCAATTGCAACGTGATGCATTTCGGATGAAGGTCTGTTATTTTAAGAGTAGAATATTCACTGCTTCATGCCTTTATTTTTCATCTTTCTTTGAATGCAGTTGATAATATAAAGTACTTTTCTTGGGTGAGGTTACTTATTATCAACTCACTATTATCTGTGGTGTGTAGGTCAATGCCTCCTGTTCATATGAGTTTGAGGTTACTGATAATGATTCTCGATCATTCATTGTCAACCTAAAGGAAAAGACTTGCACGTGCTGTGAGTTCCAACTTGATAAATTTGTATGTGTGCATGCTGTTGCAGCAATTGGTAAACGCCCTGGGTTATCCTGCTACGAATTTATTTCCACCTTTTACAAATTGGAAGCATTGGTGTGCACATATGCTGGAATTGTTCATCCTATTGGTGATGTGTCTGGATGGGTGATTCCTCAAGATATTCTATCAAGGAAATGTGACCCTCCATCTTACAACAAGCGCCCTCCTGGAAGACCTAAGAAGAAAAGGTATCCTTCTGTAGGGGAGCTCCGTTATGGCAAACGTAGAGTGAAGCAAAGATGTTCGAGGTGCAAGTCTCATGGCCACAACATGAAATCATGCACTAATCCAATTCCAATGGCAGATGTAGCTCTTACTTAAGAGTTGTTTAGTATCATTTACTTTATCTCTTTCCGACTATATGTATTTCAATTTGAGATGTTCTTATTACAAATATGGATGATTTAATGTTTTATGTTCTTTTTGTTGAACAATATGGTCCTTGAACTCCACGCTTTATATTTAATAGCCAAATACTTCTTACATTTTTACACAATTTCAAGAGTTACACTTTATACGTCCATACATGACTCCATAAAATGGAATTTATTTCCCTGTAATAAATTTAAATAATACATTTAACACCATAGAGTGTCATTTTTTTCACAATACTCTTGTAATTTCAAATTTATGTTTTACTCTATTTGTCTTTCTTAACACATTGTATTGGTTGTTTTATTCTCTATTTGTCTTTTTTGACACAATTTAAATATATACACTTTATACTTCCATTGATGGCTGTGTAAAGAGGAAATTATTTCACTAGAATTGATTTAAAAAACACGTTTAACACAACACAATTTCAAGAGTTTCACTTTCACATTACTTTAAAACACAACAAAGGCACATGTACCCAAACACATAATTCTAGCACCGAATGAAACTAAGTCACAATGCAATATGCCAATGACCATCACTGACCATATGCATTGTTGTCATACACCAAAGGTTTTATCATACAAAGCAAAAATAGCAATAGAATTTTCAACCAACTCAATACACAAAATAGATAATAACATCAATATGTTTTATAGTCACTCCTTTGCAGCCATATTTGACTCTGCAAATCGAACTAGCTCTGTAGCCATCTTCATCCTATATGCTGCCATCTGATCTGTACGAATGTCCCTAATGTCCATATCCATCATGAGGTACTCTGCAATTTTAAGCACAAACATACCACAACTCCCATTGCAAAAATCAAGAAATATATTAGGAGACCCTATTTAAAATATGTACAAAAAAAATCTCTCAACTACAATGTTTTGTTTTATATGTTGATACTTACGCATCAGTCTGTTTTGGGCAAAAATCTGCATCCTTCAAATCAAGCTTGTTGTCTCCCATTGGTCCAGTAACTTGGGTAGAAGGCATTTGATGCAAGTACTATATTCATCAATGTCTTTAAGAGATCTCACTCCCTTTGAATTATAAACCCATACTATTTTGGACTCCACCGCTAACACTAGCAGCACCCAATGCCCCCCTGTATTCAGTGGCATATATACAAAATCTGATCGGGCCCATGGGAAAGCACACTTTCTTGCAAAACCAAACACTTCAGCTGTGAAGTTTGAAACACTTCCAACATCTTCTTTGGTTTTAATTTTCTTGTCAATGTCGTCTTGATGCCGCTTGAGACATTCCAGGAAAAAAGGTGTCACAGTTGAGTATGTTTGTGTGAGCTTGTAGTTGAATCTTTTCACCTCCAAGTAAAACATGCCAACCTCCATATGCTGTTATGAGTATAGGAAAACAATATCAGGTCAGTATTTATCGACAATGCTATATACAATGTCATTACAATTGGAAATGTTATTTTGAAAAACAACTTACCAGTGTATCCAGCCACTCTTGATCCATGAAGAGATCATAAAGCCATGTTTTGCTGCTGATTATGAACTTATCCAGTACGATAGGCTTCTTTGTCATGTTTTCATCTCCTTTTGTATAAATCTTTCTGACTCCTGTTCTGGCCTTCCTCTTCAACATACCACATTCAAGGAATGTCTTAAGTTTATCAATATCTTCTTGTGGGTGCATTTCCTTAGGGTTCAGGCTGAATGGTCCAATCACGACTTCCATTTGACTCAGAGTTACTTTAAACTTGCTCTTCACAGCTTCCTTCATTTTCTGTGTCTTCTTTTGCACCTTTCTCCCTGAAAGTGAGAGCTTTTGGGGCTCTTTAGTTTGCCTCTTACTCTTACGTGTCAGCACACAAGGGGCTTCATTTTTAGCATTTCCATTGTATTCCTGCAAATTTGCAACATTAAGTTTCCATTTATGGCATGAGGTCCTTTTTTATCCATTATAGCTTTCAATATAATTCGCTCACACTTATTGGTTGTGCATCAATTATCGTATCCATTTTCACATGCTCAACAAGCTCTTTAGTTGCAACATCCACATCCATACATTTCCCTTTTATAGCCATCCCCTCTTCAGGCAACTGCAAAACAATATAAACAGTTTCACTGTTTACAGCCAAATCTGACTTGATACAAAGACAATTATATACTTTGTCACACCGCACAGTGCCATCTAACACAGTATACTTTGTCACAGACAGTGCCATCTAACACAATACTCTTAATGAGTTAACACTTTCACATCATCAGAATCCTTTATACCACTTAGTTAGTATTTTCTTTTAAGAATGTTTACTTACAGTGATTCCCTGTTCATCAATTGTAGAATCCATCTGCACTTTCTTGAAATTCGCATTAGCTGCGGGCTCCATATCAGATCCACTTTCCTTCTCAAAGATCTGCATGGCAATAATAATGATAACACAGTTTCATATATTCACAATATACTATCTTATTTAATACAAGAGTAAATGGTCTTACATTTCCTTCAATTGTGCCTTTCAAAATAGCATTCACTTCTTTGTCCATTTGTTCAAAGAACTGATCACTGAACTGTGTTTCAAACAACTTAAACAAAGTCCCAATGCTTCTTTCATCTCTCATACCTTCTTTGATTTTATCATCTCCCTCATTAATGACTGTGGTGTCAACATGACCAAGATCATTGTCATCATGTCTGGAAGTGCCATCCTTTCCCACATATCCATGGTCAGTGCCATCTTTTTCCAAAATAGTATCCTTCCCCATGTTTTTATTTTCCATGTCTTCACTCTCAACATTCTCATTGACAATTTCATCATCTATCTTTTTAAAACCCCTCTCCTCTGTATCATCTCCCTTTTGTTTTTCTAATTGCTCAAGGATCATCTTCAGCACTTTCCCTTGGCTTTCTTGCATTTTTTTCATGTCATTGAGAATTGTTATAATCTGACTCTGACTCTCCTTCTTCCTCTTTGATTTTCTTTTTGGAAGAAATTCCCCTTCCATGCTGTGAATAATTCTCTTTCTCTTCTCTTTTGGCTTGTTTTGGGCATTTCCAGTTGTTGAAAGTTTCCTTTTCTTAGCACTACCAACACTCAGATTTCTTGCTACAGTTGCAACCTTTTCTGAGCTCTCAATATGTTGCACAGTGTCATCTATCCCCCTTCTTATGTATTCACTAGCAAATAATGCCAATGAAGGATCATTTAACTCCCTCTCACTTGGAACAATCTTTGACACTTCAAACTGTGTAAAAGAATAAAAAAAATATTAATATAATCCAGATTTACTACATATTCTCATTAAAAGAGAATTTCATAGAATACGAACCTCTGGATTTTCAAATATGGCTTCATGAAGAAACTGTGCTGAAATCTTTGCATAAATCTCCCACCTTAGGCAACATGGAATCCAATCTTCTCTTCCTTTTACAATTTGACAATGCCCCGACTCTCTCAAGGAAGGAAATTTCTCAAATGCCCATACCTGTAAGGCAAAGACCCTCCAAACGTCACTCTTCCCCTTCCACGAGCTTTAAGGGATTGTGCACATCTCCCAGCATGTGTTAACAACTCTTCCCATATGACTTCACCCCATGGGAATTTATCGAATGCATCAAAATCATCTACTAGGTTAATGTATCCAATAGGAAAACTAACACGTGACTGGTGCCCAAACATAACATTGCCCAACAGATGCAGCAATGCTAGCTTTACAACATCATCACTTTCTACTCTGGGGTCATCTCTGTTGTGTTGCAGCAGTGCATCCGTAATATGACATCGCTGAACAGATTTTCCCGTATTGAAATACCTTAACCCGAAGTCACCCAACCTTTCATCATTCAAAGTTATCCTATTCCCTCCGCCTCCCAGTCCTGCAATAAGTTCAAACTCTGGCTTTGTGAACAAGACTTTTCTCCCCTTTATTTTGAACTTCATTTCTTTACATCGAGTTATTCCTTGCTTTGGTAACTTGTACCTTTCTAACAGACCAACTAAGAGCCCATTACTAATCCATCTAACTTCAGGAACATCCAACAGTTTTCCAAAAACCGTGCCTCTAAAGACTTCAAGCTCCTCTTTTCTCAACACGCCTTTAATTCTACGTACGGTCTCAAGCACACTACAATAAGTGTTAATTCCTCAATCTTTAGGCTGTGCTGTATCACCTTTCTTCACAAATTTACGCGATACCTGTATATTAAAAGGTTGTTTAAAACAAAAATAAGTCACAATGCAATCACTGATAACAAGACCATAGGTCTACTGGAAAAACGCAGTTCAACAACAAAACTAGGTCACAATGCAATCCCTCACAACAAGACCATTGGTCTACTGGAAAAAACGCAATTGAACAACGAAAATAAGTCACAATGCAATCCCTCACAACTTCACCATGCATAAACTAGAAAAACTCAATCGAACAACAAAACTAGGTCACAATGCAATCCCTCACAACAAAACCATTGGTCTACTGGAAAAAACGCAATTGAACAACAAAAATAAGTCACAATGCAATCCCTCACAACTTCACCATGCATAAACTGGAAAAACTCAATCGAACAACAAAACTAGGTCACAATGCAATCCCTCACAACAAGACCATTGGTCTACTGGAAAAAACGCAATTGAACAACGAAAATAAGTCACAATGCAATCCCTTACAATTTCACCATGCATAAACTGGAAAAACTCAATCGAACAACAAAACTAGGTCACAATGCAATCCCTCACAACAAGA